AAAAAGGGGTGGGGGAGAGATCTCAAGGAGAGCAGGGAGAGGAGTGGCAAACCATTTCCATCAACAAGAGGAAGGCCTAGACCCGAGTAAAGACATGTACATGAGTAAAGAAGGGTTTCCAGCTCTGAGCTGGGAAATATCTAGAGATTTGGGGATTGGAGCCTGGGGAGGTCAGGGTTTGGGTAGGGGAGGGACCTCAACAGGATATAAGTCCATGGAGTCCACCTACCAAAGCAGCCATTTTCTCCTGGGGTACTGATGTCGGTCGTCTGGAGATCAATTGAAATTGCGGGAGATCTCCAGGTGCCGCCTGGAGGTTGGCAGCCCTAGGAAGGTTCAGTCATCAGGCAGTGGGAAGCAGGCGTGGCTGGGAATACAGTCGAGTGGAGAGCCCGAGGAGGAACATGTTTGGCAGCTCTCTCTAACCAGAGAAGGAAGTAAGACCCTATAAGAATAAGGAATGGGATACAAGTAACCCCCTCCCCCTTCCTTCTGGCTCTTTTGCACCCATCACATGTGTGCCATCCCTGATTATTGTTGAGCTTCAGCTGGGACATAGCAAGGCAGAGAGTGTCCATGTCCTTTTCTGACAGCAACATAACTTACTTATGGTTTTGGGGGCGCCTGGGCAGAGTTCCCAGGGCCCCCGATTCCCCTCCACTGTTCACCCCAGGCCCTCCTCTCACACCCTCCCTCTTTCCCACCCATCTGCATGCCTCCCACTTGCCCCTGTGTCCTTTCTGGGGATGGGCACAAACCAGGGGAAAAGCTGTTCATGTCAGTTTGTGGTTCGTAGCTGAACCACGAATTGAACGAGGAGGTTCGTTTGTGAACCAAACCAGTCTGTATTTCGTGGCCCCACAAACCCTGTTGAAAGGGACTGCAATCCCTTTCAACTGGGTTTGCAGAAAGCCCCAAACAGCTGAGCAATGGGGAGCAGGCTCTTCTTGCAGCTTTCACGGGGAACAGAAAGCAGGGGTTTAAAGGGACTCGGGGTGCCTTTGAACCCCTGCTTTCTGCTCTTCCCAGAAACCGCCACGGACTGCTTTCAAAGTTGGTGAAAGTTTGTGATGGTAAGCCCATCATGAACTTTGGTTTGTGAACCACAAACAGGGCAAAATTTGTGGCGGTTTTTCGGTTTGCGGTTTGGCTCGTGCCCATCCCTAGTCCTTCCCCTGCCCACTAGCAAGCCCTCCCACTGGCAATGCTCCTATCTGCATGCATTGCCTGTACCCCTTCCCCAGTGGCACTAGCCATGAGGGAAGCTGGGAGTGTGGCTGGTGGAGTGCCAGCAAGTGAGGGGTGTGCCCTGGCAACTGCCCTGCCTCAGGGTATGCTGGTCCCAGGGGCACCTGACGAACTTCATCCCAAGAGACCCTCCTTCATTTGCAGCGAGCAATGGCTCACAAGAGCTCCCCCTGGAAGAAATGTCTTCAGTCTTCATAGCACCCCTGGACTCCTGTGCAACTTCTGGAAGCCAAGGCACTGCCAGGGTGGAGTTTCCCGGTTGCTCAGAGCAACCAGCAAACCTGACCTGGGTGCCTTGATTCAGGGAGGGTAAGAAGTATCACCGATCCGCCCTGGCTAGTGGGTATAAAGAGGTGCAGGGCTATTTTTGGGCAGGAACGCACAGGAACGGAGTTCCGGCTGGCTCCCGAGTTGGCCACGCCCAGCAGGAACTCATTAGCATAATAGGCCACACCCAGCAGCAGGAACTCATTAGGATTGGCTACGTTAGGGGTGTGTGGCCTAACATGCAAAGGAGTTCTTGCTACAAAAAAAGGCCCTGGGTTTTGACAACAAACAAGGTAGAATAAGAAGCAAAAGGTGGGTGTGGCTGGATGAGCACACTTCTGGTAACATGGGGGTGCAGCCTAATGTGCTAATGAGCTGTGCTGTCAGGGGTGTGGCACAATATGCTAATGAGTTTCTGCTATTGGGTGTGGCCTATTATGCTAATGAGTTCCTGCTGGGCTTTTTCTACAAAAAGAGCCCTGAAGGTGAGATGTGGCTCTCTACGTCAGCTGGAGCCGGGTAGCAGGGCAGAAGCCAGCCGACTCCCTACCTCATGTTTCTCACCTCGCTGCTTTGAGATGGAACACAGATGCCTGCCCTAACAACCTGAAAAAAATACATTGCATTCCCCCCCCCATTCAGATGATAGATATAATCTACCAGCTTGTTTTAAAGCAAGTCTTTCCCCCAACCAACTTGAACAGGTCTCTTGTGAATCACTGAGTGTCTCCTGGACTGGGAGCTTCCTTTGCATAATAGTTCGATTCCCTGGATGCCGGGAAACATCGTTTCCGTGGTTTGCCCCCTGTTCCAAGTGCAGCGTTGCCAACTGGCTAGAACACACCCATTGGTGATTTTTCTTCTTCGTAGCCAGAGGGGAATTAGGGACTAGATGAAAGAGGACAGGAAAGAGAATGTGGATTGGAAACCGGGGTAAACGGGGATGGTTCCCGAGGACACCCCACTCCGACAGGGGTCCCGGGAAAGTGGAGAACAAGAATATAAAGTGAGACCAAACCCTCCTTGTCTCAATATACTGAAGACAGGGGAGTGAGCAGGATCACAAATCAGCCCTGGCCCCTTCCTCGAAGATCAGGATTTGAACTGAGACGGCATATTTTTGACAGTTGTTCTGTTTTACGCTCTTTCATTGCCCACCGGGGAATGCCGTTTTAAGAGCTGTTGAGCTCCGGCCATAAAAAAAAATCCCTCTAGGAGTTCCACCTAGTTGCACACATTTGCTGAGGAATCGCTGCTTTGAGAGCGAGCACTGTTTAAAAGAGCTCTTTGGAATGGGTGCATCCCCGGCAGAGCGAGGACAGTCTTTGCCCTTGGGTTCGCCCTTGCAAAGGTTCCCGTCCAAAGTTACACACCGCCATGGCAGACCTGAGCATTTGCAGAGACAAATTACACTTTTTTTGGAGCAGTAGTTTTGGGGGGGATTCCGCCTGCCCTGCCTGTTCTCATTAGATCAGGGGTGTCAAACATAAGGCTGGGCTGTTATGTGGCCCACGAGCAACTGGTACAAGGGAAAGAACAGGAGGCTGCTCGGGGTGGGCGGGCGGAGCCACTCGAATTGCGGATTCAGCCCAGTGAGACAACCTCGTCTGCAGCAGTCGAGCAGAATCCCTTCACTCCAGGGCAGGGCCGGCTCCAGGTTTTTTTGCACACTAGGCGAGGCTACCTTCTGGTGCCCCCCCTCTTGGATGAGGGTGCCAGTGCTGGGGGAGAGGGGGAGCTGGGTGAGGGCAGGAAGAGGGGGGGTGCTGGGGGGCAGGCCTCCTGGGCTTTTGGTGAGGTGAGGGAGGGGAGGGTTTCCTGGCAGAGACAATGCCAATCCTGGCAGAGACAATGCCTGGCAGAGACAATCTCCTGGCAGAGACGGGTGACCTCGCGGCTGCTCCCCACAGCGCCTTCGGCTCCCCTCGGGCAAGCAGGTCGCCTTCCCGGAAAGGTGGGTGGCGGCCAGTGTTCCCTCTAAGCTGAGTTGGTGTAAGCTAGCTCACAGTTTTTTAGCCTCCGGCTCACACGTTGTCTTAGCTCAGGAAGGACGGCTCCAGTCCAGAGCAAACTAATTTATGCAGTCGCCAAATCACCTGCCTGCTCACAACTTTAATGCTGGTAGCTCACAAAGTAGATTTTTTTGCTCACAGGACTCCACAGCTTAGAGGGAACATTGGTGGCGGCCCGCGATTTACTACCCTGTTTAGGCGAGGGAGGGGCTGGGCGGCAGGCCAGCGGGGCGCTCCCTCTTAAGGGGCCGCTCTAGGCTGCTGCCTAAAAATTGTCTATGACGGGCCGGCCCTGCTTCAGGGACTGGTAAGTTGGGAGCCGCTGCAGTCGCATTCATACTTCACGCTACCTGCAGCACCAGGGATGCTGTCCTGGATGGCCGCAGGGATCTGTGCTTGCACGTTGGGGGGGTGCAGATAATCCTCTGGCACTCCAGTCCGTCAGCCCATGGGGCCTCGCAGTGAGGACCCACCAACTCGGACTTTACCAGTTTCTGTCCTTTATAAAGTTTATATCTCCGGTACCCGGCATTATGTTTTATGGCACACGTGGCCCAGCCTAACAGAGGCGTTTCCCGCAGGGACAGTTCTCCCCACGCCGGCACTTGCATTCTTCCGCTGCTTTCCCTCGTTTCCGCAGATGTTTTTGCAGTCCCAGGCGCAAAAACGCACTCTGCCCCGTTGCTCCACATCATCAGACTTCCTCGTTTCCAGGAACGCCCATGCTGCGCCACAAGACGGGGCAAACGGCGGAAATCGTCCGCGGAAACCAGGGAAAGCCGCGGAAGAACGGAAGAGCAAGCAGGGGGGAAGCTTGACACTGCGGAAAACGTCAAAGCGGCATTTATGTCAGATCCGGCCCTCATAACAAATGAGTTTGTCACCTATGCTTTAGATTATATCGAGAGAGAAAAGGCAGGGAACAAATGTGAGCAAACCTGCCCTTGCCACTCTCTGTGGGTGAGGACGGGGCAAGAGATCATTCACCTCCTGGGCGATAACTAGAAGCGCCCATCTTCCTTCTCCGGCCGCTCTCTGCTGGGCCTTGCTTGGTGTCTTATCCCTTCTACCCCAAGCCCATAGCGAGGATTTTGTAATGCAGGGGGCCTTTAAATAAGTCGGGGGGCACTGGAGTCACAAAATAAAATAGTAAAAACGTTAAAAACTCACTTTTGCGGCATTTGCACTCTGCTTGCCAATACAGGGAAGCAAGCCACACCGGGAAGGGGCAGCGTAGGGGAGTCCTCCACGTGTTCTAGAGAACTGGGGGTCCTCTGGATGGGCCAGAAAGCCGGGGGTCAATGGAAGTGGGGGGGCTTGGCAGGAAGTTGGGAGGGCCAGGCCCCGAAATGCCCCACTGTCACCATGGGCCTGTTCTACCCCAAAGCTGCCACCTGAACTGGATCGAAAGTAAACTGGGAGGGAAGGCTGTTGCTTCTACTCTGAACAAGACTCCCCTTTTCTGATTGCCAGAGCCGGGAGCAGTGGGGCATTTGAGTTTCACGGAGATTCTGGACACTTCACTCAAGGTCAGCTGGCAAGAACCCGTGGAGAAAAATGGCATCGTTACAGGCAAGTACCTGGCTGCGGCGAAAGCCCTTATGGGAAAGGGAGAGGGGGGGGAGATGTCAGAGGGGGGAAAGGGGAGCCGGGGAGGGGACGGGAGGAGTGAATCACAGCGCCACGATCAATATGGTCGGCTTTTCCTCGAGAGCCTCTGGCTTAGACCCGCAGATGTGCTGCGGCCATTCCCCCCCTCCCCCGGCCGCTGAAAAGTGAACCTGGAGTTGCTGGAGAAGGCACAGGTCCAATTACCGCCACCTGACAATCATGCAATTACGGGCCACTAGAAAAGACAAAACCAGCTTCCCACCGGCTCTTGAAGCCTGTTAAATCAGACACGTGTCCACCCTCTCCTCTGCTGTCTTTCTGCCGTCCTCGATGGTTGGAGTCTGGTGTCGAGAGCTCCAGGTACCTGACGTGATTCCGAGGACCTCCGAGTAGCCTGAGGGGTTATAACTCGGGTGGGAATCTGTTATTTGCGGTGTTTATGGTTTCGCCTCTCTAGAAGGCTCGGGGGAGATTTGCAGGTAAATATTTAAAACCAATAAATAACAACAAAGCAGTATTAAAAATGAAGCGAACAACCGCCAGGTTTGTAACTTCAGAGGGTAGTCATGTTGGTCTGCGGTAGAAGAACTAGATTCAAGTCCAGGAGCATCTTAGAGGCCAGCAAGATTTTGGAGGAGATGAGCTTTCAAGAGCCCAACCTCCCTTCATCAGATACTAGTAGGAATGGAGATCTCAGTCTTTATATCTGGTCCATATGGTTGGATGCACCCAAACGTAATGCCTGATAAACGTCTGATTGATCATTTTTGCACTATGCCCTTCCAACAAGAAGAAGAGGAGGAGGAGGAGGAGACTGGATCTATACCCAACCCTTCACTACCCAAAGGAGTCTCAGAGCGGCTTACAAACTCCTTTCCCTTCCCGTGGGGAATCAAACCTGGTTCTCCCAGATTAGAGTCCGCGCCACTTAACCACTACACCAAACTGGCTCTCAGGGTGGGGCACACAGATAAGCCCTTGCTGTTTTTGTCCGATGCTGAGTCCGAGAGCAGCCTCACATCACCCAGTGAACTTCATGGCAGAGTAGGTATCCTGTGATAGCCTGGGAGTTGCAAAGGGAGTTCAGTGGTATAACATCCACTTGGTATGCAGAAGGTAACTTGTTCAGTCCCCAGCTTCTCCAGTTAAAGGGACCAGGTAGTAGGTGATGGGAAAGACCTCAGCCTAAGACCCTGGAGAGCTGTAAAGAGGGGCTGTAGCTCAGTGGAAGAGCCTCTGCTTGGCATGCAGAAGGTCCCAGGTTCAATCCCCGACATCTCCAGTTAAAGGACCAGGTAGTAGGTGATGTGAAAGACCTCAGCCTGAGACCCTGGAGTGCTGTAAAGGGGGGCTGTGGCTCAATGGAAGAGCTTTTGCTTGACATGCAGAAGGTCCCAGGTTCTATCCCTGGCATCTCTAATTAAAGGGACCAGGTAGTAAGTGATGTGAAAGACCTCATCCTGAGACCCTGGAGAGCTGTAAAGAGGGGCTGTGGCTCAGTGGCAGAGCATCTGCTTGGCATGCAGAAGGTCCCAGGTTCTATCCCCGGCATCTCTAGTTAAAGGGACCAGGTAGTAAGTGATGTGAAAGATCTCAGCCTGAGACCCTGGAGAGCTGTAAAAAGGGGCTGTGGCTCAGCGGCAGAGCCTCTGCTTGGCATGCAGAAGGTCCCAGGTTCAATCCCCGGCATCTCCAGTTAAAGGTAGTAGGTGATGAAAAAGAACTCAACCTAAGACCTTGGAGAGCCAGCACCAGTCCGAGCAGACAATATTGACCTCGATAGAACCAATAATCCGATTCAGTATTAGGCCAACTCACACGAAGACATGTCAATTGGCTGGGTGCCATGACAGCTGCTTCGGTACTTAAGCCCAAAGATGTTAGAAGGGAAAGCCAAAGATCCCTTTCATTTATGAGGAAATACGAAGCTAAAGACACATTGGGGAAGGTTTATAAGGAAGCAAAAGTTCCCCCGTTCTGGCGAGCATCGCGCATTTAAGACCGGGAGTTGGCAAAACCGCTCGTCTCCCTGGAATGGCTCAGTGGCTCATACAATCCTACTTAGAAATCGTAAAGAGTGCTTGGGAGGGCTCCTACTTCATCCCTTCTGCCCGTGGATGTCATTTACTGTGACTTGGTTTTTAATTCTGGCACACGGAATGAGAGGGAAAGCGCAGAGGGCATTAGGAAGGGAGCGGGCCAGCTTTTGGTAAATTGCCCGTTCCTCTCCTTGCAAATCTCAGTGTCTCCCTCTCTCCTTCGGTAAACTCTGATTTATGAGGGCCTGCATGCAGACGGACAGTTTGTGATTGGATGTGCCGCTCCCGCCTATGGAATTTACTCCAGATCAACAGAAAATTATTTCTAAAACTCTCCTGGTCATTAGTTTCAGTTAGGGGAAGGAGGAGGCGCTAATCTTTGGGGGCGCTGGCTTACGCTTGAGGCAGAGAAATCCTCTTCTCGCCCGGCACATTTGGTGGCTTTTCACCATTCAATGGCGTTTGGTCTACATGCACTGGATGTCGCCCAGGTTTCCCTGCCTCAGCCTCTCAACTCTGCGTCAGGGCTTCTTCTGCTGGCTGAGTTCCTTTCCGTCAATAATTGGTCAGTTTGATGTATTATTTGTATCTGCTTCGATGGAACATCAGAGAAGCCATGTCCGGGCAGGCCAATGGCCCATCCAGTCCAACACTCTGTGTCACACAGTGGCCCAAAACCCAGGTGCCGTCAGGAGGTCCACCAGCAGGGCCAGAACTCCAGAAGCCCTACCACTGTTGCCCCCCAAACACCAAGAAGACAGAGCATCAGACAAGAACATAAGAGAAGCCATGTTGGATCAGGCCAGTAGCCCATCCAGTCCAACACGCTGTGTCACACAGTGGCCAAAACCCAGGTGCCGTCAGAAGGTCCACCAGCAGGGCCAGAACTCCAGAAGCCCTCCCATTGTTGCCCCCCAAGCACCAAGAAGACAGAGCATCAGACAAGAACATAAGAGAAGCCATGTTGGATCAGGCCAGTGGCCCATCCAGTCCAACGCTCTGTGTCACACAGTGGCCAAAATCCAGGTGCCATCAGGAAGTCCACCAGCCAAAACCCAGGTGCCATCAGGAAGTCCACCAGCAAGGCCAGAACTCCAGAAGCCCTCCCACTGTGCCCCCCCAAGCACCAAGAAGACAGAGCATCACTGGGCCAGACATAAGAACAGAAGAGAAGCCATGTTGGATCAGGCCAAGGGCCCATCCAGTCCAACACTCTGTGTCACACAGTGGCCAAAACCCAGGGGCCCTCAGGAGGTTCCCAGTGGAGAGAGAACTCCAGAAGCCCTCCCCCTGTTGCTCCCCCCAAGCACCAAGAAGACAGAGCATCACTGGGCCAGACATCTATACCTTCTGGCTAATAGTATGTGTGCATACGAAAGCTTATACGTCGAATAAAACTTTGTTGATCTTTAAAGGGGCCACTGGACTCAAACTTCGTTCCACTGCTCCAGACCCACACGGTTACCCACCTTTACTACTGAGAATAATGTTTATTCACCTTCATCCAACCCGTCGCTTTTTTACCTGATGTTCACCGTCCAGGTGTGCTAGTTTAGCTGCATGCGCATCGGAGGGGAGTCCGTCTGCTCAAGAACACCGGGCAAATTTGCCTGGATCCCGTGGAGCTTGAGAGAATGGCGAATGATTGAAGTATTCAAGGTGGGAGTGGTTACTTATTGAAAAAGGGACTTATGCTCAAAGCCGTGGCTTTAGAGTGTGACTGGAGGGGTGGGGAGACGCAGACAAAGAGCGGCTAATGAACTCCCGGGCTTAGTCCAGCTCAGATTTATTGCCCTGAGGATTTCGGATAGAATCCAAAGTGAGCCGGTAAGAATGAAGCTTGGTGTGTCCCTGTGTCCCTGTGACCATCAGGGGAGCATGTCAGTAAAAGACTCGGGGAAATAGAGGTCCAACTAGAACATAAAATAGAAAAGACACTTAAAAACAACAACAACAACGTGCCAACTGTTTCTGGGAAGCACACACAATCTTAAACTCTCCTGGATGGCATTTCTGTCACTCAAGATTGTCCGGTTACTCCCTTTTCTATTTGGGGTCTCCGAGTCTGGGGCCAGCACGGGTCTGTCACATTTCCCGGCGGCGATGCTGTGATTCAGAGAAGACCGTCTTCGTTCCTCGTTCCCGCAAACAGCAGGGTCGCCCCCAGCCAGGTTAGCAGAAGGGGCTCGTCGGTATTGAATCATCTCCGCCAGGTTAGCAGAAGGGGCTCGTCGGTGTTGAATCATCTCCGACTCAAGTCGCTGCCAGAACATCCTGTACTTTCTTGCCCTGATCCTAATCAGCGGTAATCAAGAAAACGCTGTCTCCCCCCCCCCGCCGCCGCCGCCGCAACTGTCTCTCTCTGCAGGCTGTCAGGAGAAAGGTTCAAGGGCTCCAGAGAGAATAAAGTTTCCACCGGGGGTTCGGAGCAGGCAGGGGAGAGAACAAGCAAAATCAGAAGCAAAATGGGACCCCCCCACACAAAGAAAACACATTTTCAGGTTATTGAAATCCTGGGAAGTCTGTGGAAGGCAGAGAGAAATAAAGCAGCCGGGGAATGGAGAATTGAAGTAGGCAGTTCTATGATAGGAGAAGTGGAGTGGAGGCTCAGGTGTTGGGCCGATTAGGACAATAGACGCGCTGCACTAAGTTTGAAAAAGATAACAGAACATTCCGCCTGGCTTAAAAGCGTGGGCAAGAGATCTGTTCCTCACCCTTCTACTCTTGGAATTTGCGGCGTCTTCTTCTGAACTGATTAGCATCTTGTTCAGATGTGTTTCTCTCCCCCCCCCCCATAGTTGCATTTACTTAGTAGAGGAATCTCTTGTATAGGAACACAGATCCTCTTTTTCCTCCCTGGACAGCTGAATGGTTTGCCAGCAAGGCCTGGCCGTGGGGTCTCTGCGGCGATAGGGTTACTGG